ACCGCAGCCTCAACCTGCTGGACTCCGGCGATCCTTCCGCTTCAGCCTTCCAAGTAGCCAGAATTACAGGCACGTGCTACCACACCCGGCTAATTTTTTGATTTTATTGTAAAGATGAGGTCTCGCCTGCCCAGGTGGGTCTCGAACCCGCGGGCTCAGGCAATCCACTCACCTCAGCCTCCCAAAGGCGCGGGATTATAGGCTGAACCACCAAGCCCGGCTATTAATGGCCATTCTTATGTGTATTTTACCCTCATAAAAACTCCAAAAAGTAAAAGGGGTGTAATGTTTTATATAAAGTGCACTCATGGCATCTCTGTTTTTGAGGATGGTTGTGTGTGTATCTAAGGTGTTGTCTCGGGTACTGTGAACAGTGAATGACCACAACTTGCTGAACTGGGGCCCATGGGAGCCCTGTGTGGAATGTGTATGTCCATGTGGCATGTGCTTGTCTGGGCGTAAAATGCATCTGTGTGTGAAGTGCGTGTGTCCATGTGTGCATGTGCTCACCTGTGAAATGTGTGGGTCTGCATGTGAAATGTGTGTGTCCTCACATGTGTGTAGAAGAAGCCAGGGCAGGGCCAGCATGGGATGTGATCACTCGCTTAAGACCTGTGTTTGTACTTCCAGACCTCATCCGGGAAGGTTCTTCCTCATCTAGGGAGGCCCTCCCTTATCTAGGAAGGTTCTGTTTAGAGAGGAACCAGGAATGGAGGTGTGTTTAGCCAAGGAGAGAGCTGGCAGGGCCGGTGCTGGCCCCATCCCATGTGTGTGGGTGCACACGTGGGGTCAGGATCTCCAGGGTCGCTCTGCTCCGGGCTTGCTCCTGGTGGGGAGTGTGTTTCCATGTGTGTGGAGACAGGGTGTGCTTTCAAAGCATGACTTCCTCTGTGCAAAGCGACTCTTTGCTGAACCAACCTCCTCTCTGGATGCATGTCCTTGGCGTTGTGGCCGATATATAAAGCTGCATCATGGTCAACACTCTTGAGTTCTCTTTTCTTTGTTTTTGTTTTTAGAGACAGTGTCTTGTTCTGTCACCCAGACTGGAGTGCAGTGGCACGATCATAGCTCACTGCAACCTCCAATTCCCAGGCTTAAGCGATTCTTCTGCCTCAGCTTCCCAAGTAGCTAGGACCGCAGTCATGGGTCACCATGCTTGGCTAATTTTACTTTTATTGCAGAGACAAGGTCTCACTGTGTTGCCCAGGCAGGTCTTGAACTCCTGGGCTCAAGCAGTCCTCCCGCCTTAGCCTCCTAAATTTTGAGCTTACAGGCATGAGCCACTGCGCCTGGCTTCTCCTTTGTTTAGTCCTAATAAAGTGTTGTGTAAGTATTGCTGCTGAAGGCGTTGTGTGTTTGTTGAGCTTGTCAGACTTGGTACTGAAGAGCATCCACACTCTCTCACACCTTCCTGCAGACTTTGCCTTGTGTAGCAGCCGTGGAACCTCAGGGAAGGGAGTGAGTACCTTCCACGCTTGCTACCATCTGCAGGAGGGTGCAGAAACCAAAGCCTGTTGTTTGGTGGTGGAACTTACTTCTTTGGGAAGTCCACTTCATGTGCTCAGTAGATGGGATGTCATCAGCTGGACAAGAATGAGGAATGTAGATGAAGAACACATTAAAATTAAAAGGCAGTCATGAACCGGGGGACAGAGAAGGGAGCCATGGTCCCCTTGGGGCCACCTGGGAGGCATCTCATCTTGGTTTTGCTTTGACCTGTTGTAATCACACCTTGATGGTGTTCAGTGATAATGCTTGCACTTACGGGGCATGCTTGACTTAGCGGTAGTTTATACTTGTGGTTGGAAGTGCCTGGCCTGGTGGGCACCCCTCTGTGCACCATGGCTTTTGATGTCCGGGGGGCATCAGATCCTGCAACTGGAGAACACCAAGCTAGACAAGGGTTCTGAGGGAGGGTAACCCTGGCTCCCTGGTCGAGGAACCCCTTGGTTCCTAGTTTGCGAGGACGGTTCAACCCTGAGGTTGACTCACAACTCTCATGCGATCCCTGGTCTTCCTCCTTGTCTTGCCAGTTAGTAGGTCCTTGGAGCACAGCTTCCTGTGCTTTTAGTCCTCCACCCTCCTTCCCCAGACCACTTGATCACCCATCTCTCTCTACCCTCCTTGGAAGGACGAGTCTGAATATTCCTTTGAGGCAGTTTATCAGTTAACTCCCCACTGACTGCTTTGATAACTCAGGGTTGTGTCATTTGCTTTTAGTTTCTTAGTGTCTTGGTCAGAGGTACTGGAAGTTCTATGGTGATGCTTTATGATGCTTTCTGGGAGCATAATGTTTTGGGGTTTTGACAGTCATTCTTTGAAAGCCTCACAGATAGTTGTGCTGTGTTTCAACTTGTGAATTCAACTAATGGTCTTGATGTGTGTTCATAAATCCTTTTTCTTTGAATACAGGAAAAACTGGCTGTCCCCACCCCCCAGCTGTTACTCCCTTTGAGTATTTAAAAATGAACTTACCATACGGGCCTCAGCCAGAATTAAACAAAGGCTAACACTTCCTTTTTCCTGTACTTAATATGCAGTTTTGTCAGTGGTGCTTTCTAGAGCTACCAGGACCAGTGTCCGCATTTGGCAGGCAGTACTCCTGACTTGATTTCTCAGTTGACTTTTTAGAGCTGACAGGAGTCTGTTTATCCTTCCTTTGTCTCACCTTCTTACCTGTTCTGCTCATTCCCCCATCTTGGTGACATTTTTTACGTGGATATGGTTTTTTATATGATTTTTTTAAATTACTAAGTGTAGCTCCTTCCCTAGCTACTAACTGGAAACCAGCATTTGGTATTCTGTTCCTCAGATCTTGGGCAAGTGCCTTCCGTGACAGTCACTTTCCCCTGATGAAGAGCCTTTAGGGATAGATTTTGTACCAGTATGATGGGTTTCCTAAGTGGTACCTCCAAAAATATACCTAAAACATTTAAAAAGAACATTCTGACTAAGCACATCTCTCCATTCCCCTGCATGTTAAAATCTCTAACAATCTTATTTAAAAGCCACCAGGTGTGGTGGCTCACATCTGTAATCCCAGCACTTTGGAAGACAAGGCAGGAGGATTGCTTGAGCACAGGAGTTTGAAACCAGTCTGGGCAACATAGTGAGACCTCATCGCTTCAAAAATTAAAAAAATTAGCCAGATGTGGTGGTACACACCTGTGGTCCTAGCTGCTTGGGAGGCTGGGTGGAAGGATCGCCTGAGCCCAGGGGGTCGAACTGTGGTGGGCCGTGATCACGCCACGGCACTCCATCCTGGGTGACAGAACAAGACCCTGTCTCAAAACAAACAAAAAACAAACCATGAACGGGGGATCTTTTTATAAGTGGATGGTCCACGAGACATGGCAGTGAGATGAGAAACCCCCGATGGCTGGTGGATGGTAAAGAATTCTACATTCTATAGAAGATATTCAGAAACATTTACACACTTTCAAATTTTAATTTTTAGATGTAAATAACGCCAAGATCATAAATACAAATTTAACAGAGTTTTTGTTTAATCGTGTGTGTCCACTGGTGACGTAGACTCCTCTGACTTTGGAGAAGGCTTAAAGTCTCAGCACCCAGCCCACACCATCACGTGGCATTCCCTAGGGAAGGTGGGAGAATTTGGGACCCGCCAGTCCCCCCCCCCGTGGCAGAGGATTCAACCCAGCTCGTGTCTCAGACACAGACATTCCCTGCAGGTGCTTGGAGATTGAGCTGCACCCAGGCTGGGCTTGGTTTCTCCTGGTCTGCCCATAGGTGCTGGCATACAAAGGAGGACCCCCAAAACCCAGAATTTATTTAGAAAAAATTGTGTATTTATTCTTATATGCTTAAACTTCAGTCACATTCAAAGTACTCTCTGTTTGATGCAGCACTCCCATCGAGATGCTTCCTCCACTGTTCAGAACAGTTTTTGACGTTTTCCATTTTGTTGCCCTTTGGTGCTTCTGTGTTTTTTTGCTTTCACCTCTTCCACAATGGCAAAACATTTCCCTTTGAGGACTTTTTTCAAGTGAGGAAACAAAAACAATCACTCGGATTGAGATAAGGTGAATGGGGTAGATGGTTTGGGGGTCATGCAATTTTTGGTCGAAAACTGCTGAACATTCAGCACGGTGTAGGAAGGTACAAACATGTTGAAAGAATCTCCAAAATAATAATAATAATAATTCACTGAAGCCGAATGCAGCCTCTCACAACAATGCTAGCTGGTACACCAATGCCGATGGGTTCCTAGAACACTTGCCTCATGGGAGAGGAAGCCTGTACTACAAGGGGCCCGCCCTCCAAAAAATAATTCCATTTTTTTAGATCCCTCCTCGTCGAGGTGACCAGCTTAACTGCCCCTTCACTCTCGGGCCTCGGAAGGAAAGGGAATCCTTGGCGGTGTCGTTTTACCTTTGGGAACTGACTCTCACGGGAGAGATTCACAAGGAGCCCCACTGGATGAGGCGGAGTTGCTTGGTAGCCCGGCGGTTTCTGAGGCAGATGCTTGGATCCTTCCAACAGAGTCAGCCACTTTCTAACCCCACGTCTGTGTGACCATGGGTTGCATCTGTTTCTCTTACCCTAGAATGATCGGGGTGATCATAAAGGTTTCATCGGAGCCCAAGATACGGTGTTTGAAAGTCATGTAAACCTTTTACTGTTATGCACAATGATATTCTTTTTCTGATTTTTAATATAACTAGCCACCCTGCGTTAACTGGGAACAGCGAAGACATGTAACTAGATAGGCTGCTAGTGTATTTGTTTTCCCTATAATCTTTTGAGCCATCTCCATCACTTGAAAAATGAAGCCCACCCAGCATACCCCCCTCTTGCTCTGGTCTGGGTAGCTCCTGACAGATTGGTTGCAAGCAAACTGAACTCGAGAGTACCTTGTTCTCCTTGTCTCTATGGTGCCTTTTGGATGTGCACCTGGGTAGCTGGTTGCTCTTCTGTCTCTTGCCCTGTTTTGACGAGAGATGGTAATGACCTGTTTCCCATTTTGCCTCCTCCAGGGGGACGGCCACGCCGCTGCTGTTTTTCCGAAGAGGTGGCATCGGCCGCGCTCTCCAATGGAGACCAGAGTCACAAACTTGGAACCAGTGCTCCGGAGAAAGACACCAGCGAGTCTGCCACGGGCATCGCAGCTTCCGTGTCCATACTTGAAAACAGCAGCAGAGAGGCATCCATAAGACATGAGCAGCGCCGGTTTTCTGTGGACCTAAAGATGCCAGCATTTCACCCCAAGCAGGAGGCGCCTGGCTCTGGGGATGGCACGGACGTCCCTTCAGGCGCAGAAGGGGACAGCCAGGCGAGCCACCCTAGAGAGAAGCCACCTGATTTGCACAGCATGGAGCATCTTGGGGGAGGGAAGCGGGTGCTGGGCCCAGACCTCATCCCACTGGACTTGAGCACGAGGTCTACGCGGGATGGCCCCGGCAATAAGGAGATGGCCTCCTCCCTGCAGGCGGCTCTGGTCGTTCACCCGTGTCCTTACTGCAACCACAAGACCTACTACCCCGAGGTCCTATGGATGCACAAGCGCATCTGGCACAGGGTCAGCTGCAACTCGGTGGCACCCCCGTGGATCCAGCCCAATGGTTACAAAAGCATAAGAAACAACTTGGTTTTCCTCTCCCGAAGTGGACGCACAGGGCCCCCGCCTGCCCTGGGGGGCAAGGAGTGCCAGCCTCTGCTTCTCGCTCGGTTTACCCGCACACAGGTTCCGGGTGGCGCGCCTGGGCCCAAGAGCAGCTCCTCTGCCCTGGGGGTGGCCGTGAAAGCCTCTAGCATGCCCAAGGACAAGGAGAGCCATTCTGGGGGCCCCTGTGCGCTGTGGGTGCCCAGCCCCGATGGGTATCGACAGACCAAACCTGGCCACAGCCAGGAGCAGCATGGCGCCGCCACACAGGGGCCCCCTCTGAAGCCCAAACAGGAGGCCAGCTCCAAACCGGCGCCTACCCCAGGGGGTGGGGCCTTCAGCAGGAGCACTACCCCCACACCCACCGTCATCACCCGGGCTGGCACCCAGCCCTCGGCCAACAGCAAGCCGGTAGAGAAGTATGGTCCCCCCCCAAATAAGCACAGTGCCCCGGACTCCCTGAAAGCCAAATTCAGCCCCCAGCCTCAGGGTCAGCCTCCCGTGAAAGGTGACGGGGGTGCTCCTCCTCTACCTCCCCGTGAGCCCCCCTCCAAGGCAGCCCAGGAGATGAGGACACCAGCCACCTGCACCGCGGGGCCCAGAGGGGACGCCACCTTGCAGGCCCCACCACCTGTGGCCGGGGCGCCCCCTGTCCTGCACTCCATCAAACAGGAGCCGGCGGCCGAGGGTCCCGAGAAGCGCCTGGACATCCTCAACATCTTCAAGACGTACATTCCAAAGGACTTCGCCACTCTCTACCAGGGCTGGGGTGTCAGCGGCCCCGGGCTAGAGCACAGAGGTAAGATGTGTGGGCTCCCTTCTCCCCAGGCTGTGCCTCCACATGGGGACTCCTTGGGAAGGTCTCCTCTGGAACGTAATGGTGCCGCCTGCCCGGGGGCCCTGAGAGCAGGGCATGGCCAGCCCCATCCCATTGCAAAGCCACCTACCTGCCCAGAGCCTCTGAAGGCATGTCACGACCGGCCCCATCCCACCACAAAGCCATCTGCCTGCCAGTGCCCCTGAGAGCAAGGCATGGCCATCTGACTGCAAAGCCACTGTTTCCCTTACCCTTGCCTGGGGGCACAGTGGGTGTGAGCGGCTCTCCCAGGTCCCAAATTCTGCCCTGTGGGGATCCTACTGGGGTTGGTGGAGGCCCTAGGGGGTACTCAGCTTGGCAGTAGGGCTTCCTTCTCTCTGGTGTTCATTTGGAAACCCGGTATACCCCTTCCACGCTGACCCTTGACAGGAGTGGACAAACTTGATGTTCACTTCACTTTTTTTCTTGTCATTTTAAGCAAAGAATCAGTAGGTGTTCTTTGTCCTTGTCTCTCCACAGACAAGAGTGTCTATTTGATGTGATTATTTTAAATTGTACTTTTATACCTATATGATTTTAAAAAAATATCCAATTAATTGGTGCTCCACTGTTGGTAAACAAAGCCTTGCAGAGGGTAAGTGTACTATATGAAGGCTAGAATTGGCTTGTGCTAAAATACCTTGAGGTAATAATGATGAGGTTTTTTGGGTGGTCTCCCACATGCTCTACTGGGTATGTTGCTCCGTTCTTGAATATAAATGGAAGGTTTTCTTTGCTTATTTTTAAAAAAATGGTATTACAAATACCATTTGATTTGCAATAGCTTTAATAAATGGAATACTTGGTGGCAAATCTAATAAAGCTATGGGATTTGTGTGATAAAAATTATAAAACATGGACGGGTGTGGTGGCTCAAGCCTGTATGTAATCCCAACCCTTTGGGAGGCCGAGGTGAGAGGATTTTCTGAGCCCATGGGTTTGAGAACAGCCTGGGCAATTTGGCGAGACCTCATCTTTACAATAAATTGGAAAATTAACCAGGCGTGGTAGCATGTGCCTTTATTTCCATCTACTTGGAAAACTGAGGTGGAAGGATCGCCTGAGCTCAGTAGTTTGATGCTGGGGTGGCTGTGAGCGTGCCACTGCACTTTAACCTGGGCAACAGAGTGAGACTCCAACCTCAAGTGTGTGTACACACACACACACACAGACACACAAAACACAAAGGAAAAATCAGAGAAGATCTAAATACGTAAAGAGAGGTGTAGAGGTGTCATACTCATGGGTTGGAAAACGCAACATAGTAAATATGTCAGATCTCACCTGGTCATAAAATTGTTCCATCTCTGTTGCTCCCTATCCAGTCTTCTTTGAAGCCATCCTGGCAGGAAAATTAGTGTGTCTCTATGCAACCTGGGAAGGGAGAAGGTTAGGCACCCCACATGTCCTGCCTCAGAGTTTTTTATGGTGGTTATTATCTCAAAGTTTCATCTTGTTAGTCAGCCCCATTTCTGGTGTTTGGCCAGAGAGGGCTATTTTGGGACGGTAGAGTTTTTATGCCTTTTCCCATTGGGCCACCCTCATTTAACATCCAGAACACTGAGAAATCTAGGTTGTTAAAAACAAAACAAAACAAAGTGGACAAAGCTGTCTCAGGTCATCACCTAGATGGCCTTCTTTGAACAGAATGTGCTTCGTAACTCTACAGTTTCTTAAAGCAGTTCCCATTGGAGATGGCCTTTGAGAGCCAATGCCTAAACCCTGGGCAGTGGCCGCAGTGCCAGGGGGCGTGGTTCAGTCTGTCGGAGGTGGTGTCCAGAGAGGCCCTCAAATCCACCACACAATGATGTCCTGCTGGGCACAGGAGCCCATGCTGAGTGCTGAGTCATGCTGGGACTTTGGAGGCTGCCTAGACCTGCAGGCACACTGGGGCCATCCTCGAGGAAATTGGTGCCTGTGTTTTATGCTTGCCCATGGGGTGCTTGTCCTCAGGGTGTTTTTCCAGCAGCAGAAATTGCAGGTGTACTAACTTTTCCCAACTTTTGTCAGTCAAGGCCTTGCACAAGCTGCCTGCTTTACGCGCCTGTTTTGAGGAGCACACTATCCCTTGTGGACTTCTCTAGGATGAGGCTGAGGCCCAGATGCCTGAGGGTCTGTGAGATGCATTGTGCCAAGGTGTCACCAAGGAGTGGTGGTCCCTGGTGGCCCCATGTAGGATTCACATCCCTTCTCCTCTGTGGAGCGTGTTCTGGGTTGGCAGCATCATCCGAGGAGACTCTCATCAGTAGGAAGAGAAGCACTTTTTCCAAATTTAGTTAGATCAACTGGGTCCTACCCATCTTGGCAGTCTTTCTCAGTTACAAGGACTATTTGCTGTTTGTGGAACACGGGTGGGTTGGTTGCCTTGTCTGTGGTGTCAGCCTTGGTTCTGGAGATGTGTACTTTCCCAGAGCCTACAGCAGGGGAGGTGAGACACCAGGTGAGAGGTGAGGGCTGCATAGTCGTGGACGCCAGGTGTCCTTGGCAGTGCCTTGCCTGTCCCATCCTTCCTGTGCCACCCCTCCCAGTGGAGTAAGCTGGACGTTTGCACTGTTGTAATTACTCTTAGTCCACCGGACTTGTAATTTATTTAGCTGTACACTAATGGCCAGCACCAATTATACAATTCTAAACCTGCCAGTTTACACCTAGAAAGTGGTATGCCCGCTTTTCCAAAGGCCCTTTGTGTTGCCCTTGGGCTTATGTAGTTGTGGTTCGAGACCCGCTTGAGCAGCGAGACCTCATCTCTACAATAAATAAAAAAAAATCAGCCGGATGTGGTAGCGCATGCCTGTAATTCTGGGTACTTGGAAGGCTGAGGCTGAAGGATCGCTGGAGCTCAGCAGATCGAGGCTGCAGTGACTGGGAGAGACCACTGCACTCCAGTCTGGGTGACAGAGTGAGACTCCAACTCAAAAAAAAAAAAAAAGAAAGAAAGCAGAGGTAAGTTTTTATGGATTTGAGAATTTCAGGTGACAGAATTTGAAATCCACAATAGCCTGAGATATTTTTCTTTTTCTTAAAATGTTTTTAAAAAATAAATGGTTTTAAGGACTTTTTTTTAAAAAGAGAGAGGTTAAATATTTGTCATTTGAATGTGAAAAATGCTAATTAGTCCACAAAGCACATGTGCTCTTCTTGGATGATTATTTATTCTTCTAATGTACACATTGAAATATACTGTAACTCAGCAAAGTTACAGTTTTAAAGTTCACTCTGAATTGAGTTTGTTCATTCATTCATTTGCTTACTTATTTATTTTTAAGTTGGAATCTCACCCTGCTGCCCAGGCTGGAATGCAGTGGCATGATCATGTCTCACTGTAGTCTTGACCTCCTGGGCTCAGGTGATCCTTTGCCTCAGCTTCCCAAGTAACTGGGACTGCAGGTATGCGCCACCACGCTTAGCTCATTTTTCTGATTTTTTTTTTTAGAGACAAGGTCTTATTATGTTGCCCAGGCTGACTTCAAACTGCTGATAGGAAGTGATCCTCTTGCCTTGGCCTCCCAGTGTGCTGTGATTATAGGCATGAGCCATGGCACCCAGCCTGAACTGGATTTCTTAAAGGGATTGTTTTAAACCTTTTTGTTCTTAAAATACTTTTGCTACCAAGTGCATTTGAGAACTCTGACTTCCTGGCTTTAGAGAAGAACCTGAGATTAGCTTGTTTAGATTCCTTGGTCAGTACTCCTCAGAAGGGTCATGATTCCTTGCCTCCAGGCTATGGCTTTGGTGGACTTGACTTGGCCACTGGTCTTCACATGCCAAGGCTCTTCTCTGTGGCGGTCCTTAAACCTTTAGGCACGGCTCCCCCTGCCTTTGCGGATCCAGTATTCCTCTTCCTTCGCCACTCAGCCTGGTCTCCAGAGCCTTTCTGGTTGCCTTTTTCCTTATTTGAATGTTTATGACCTTCTTAATGTTGAAGTGGAAGGAAGTCCAGCAGGCGTGGCGTGGTCTGACTATTTAAGGGGTAGTAGAATGAGAATGTTTCCTGTTACAGAAGCTTTACTTCTATTATTGTACCTTGGGAAATATGTGCAGCCAAGAAATTTACATTATTGATGTGTTACTGAATATACTAGTAACTCAACTCTAAGGCTTTTTTCCCTACTTGTTTCTGCTTAGCCATTTCTTCTTTGTTGTATATATATGAAGGGAGAACTCAAAAAATCCCAGAATTTATTTATAAAAAATTGTATATTTACTCTTACATGTTTAAACTTCAGTCCTCTTACAGTACTCTTCATTTGACACAATATACCTACTGAGACGCTTTTTCCACTGTTCAAAAGGGTTTTTGAACTTGTTAATTTTGATGCCTTTTAGTGCTTCTGCTGTTTTTTTGTTTGTTTGTTTTTGAGTTGGAATCTCACTCTGTCACCCAGACTGGAGTGCAGCGGCCGCTCCCGGCCACCGCAGCCTTGACCTGCGGGGCTCCGGCGATCCTTCTGCCTCAACCTTCCGGGTAGCTGGAACTACAGGCGCGTGCTACCACACCCGGCTAATTTTTGATTTATTGTAGAGATGAGGTCTTGCCAAGTTGCCCAGGCGGTTCTTGAGCCCGCGGGCTCAGGCATTCCACTCACTTCAGTCTCCCAAAGGCGCGGGATTACACGCAGAGCCACCGAGCCCGGCTGCTTCTGCTGTTTTTTGTTTCACCTCTTCCACGTTGGCAAAACATTTCCCTTTGGGAGCTCTTTTTAATCCTCCTAAACAAAAACCAGTCACTTGGGCTGGGATTGGGTAAATAAGAAGGGTAGGATACTTGGGTTGTGCCCAAAGTTTTTGGTCAAAAACTACTGAACACTCAGTGCAATGCAGGCAGGTGCACTCATAAATCATCCATCATGAAATGGGCATATGCACTGAAAAAACTTCCTCCCCCCCCAAAATCCACTGAAGCCGAATGCATCCTCTTGCAACAACACTAGCTGGTACATGGATGCCACTGGGTTTCTAGAGCACTTAGGTAGTGAGGGATGCGTGGACTACCATGGTCCCGCCCTCTAAAAGATAGTTCCGGGTTTTTTTCGGTCCCCCTTCATGTATAGTTAGTTTTTGAGTTCTGAGTCTAGAATCTCATTTTACTTATCCCGTAGTCGAGTTGATCTTCTTGCCTTGTCTTATTATATGAGTGTGTCAGTGCTTTTTAGTCTTCGCTCTTTCATCTGATACATTTGCTGTTTGTCCCATATTTGGGTGACACCTGTGGACCTAAAGACCATGACTTCCTTTATGCAGTCTTGGGTTAGACTTATTGTTATGGCAGCATTTTATAGTTAGAGGACATGGAAATATGCAGAGGTAAAAGGTCTGAAGGAATAGTAAATCATCTGTTGTGTGCATGACATAGTTGTGGGTGTTGGAAGTGTGATTCTTCGACTTTCTGGTTGACCCGTTCCATTTTTACAGAGAACTGTGCTCTCAGGGGCTGCCTCCAAAACAGCTTTTATTCAGAAGTTTTAGAGATGTTTCTCAGACACTTTTTTTCCCATGCGTGTTTGACTGGATGATGCTTCTGGAGAAAGGAAGAGTCTAGAAACCCTTCCCAAAGAGGGGACTTTTGTTACCTCCTCTAGGAGCTCACAGACTAATCCTTTAAGAATAAAAGCCATGACATTTTCTGTAATTATCCTACAGTGTGACTACTGACTCTGTAAACATATATTTATTTTTATTTTTTTAGTCGGAATCTCCCTCTGTCACCCAAGCTGGAGTGTAGTGGCATAATCTCAGCTCACTGAAGCCGAAACCTCTGGGCTCAAGTGATACATCCACCTTAGCATTCCAAGTAGCTGTGACTACAGGTGCACGCCACCACACCTGGCTAATGTTCTGATTTTTTGTAAAGATGAGGTTTTGCTATGTTACCCAGGCTGGTCTCAAACTCCAGGGCTCAAGCAATCTACCCGTCTTAGCCTCCCAAAATGCTAGGATTATGGGCATGAGCCACCACACCTGGCCAGCATACATGAATAGAATACAAATGGCTTATTCTGCCAGCAGTAATAAAACAACAAATAATCTGTGTTTTTACACTTTATGGCTAGCCTATATTACGATATAAATTTCAGAATAAAAAAATTGAAGATAATAGAATTAGAAAATCCTAGATAAAATAGTATTTAAGGTCTTATTGGGCTTTTAAACATTATTTCTTATTCTTTAAAAGATCATTTTTAACAAGGATGCTTAATATGACAATGATGAAAATGTTGTGCTTCCTTGAATGGTTGTTATCTATTTGTAGAATCTTTTCATTCTCTTTTTTCCCCTTAAAGATGGCGTATTAATGTATAACAACATGATACATCACAGTGCTGTGTGTCCCTCTCAGAGGACCCTCAGCCTTTGTTTTTCTTTGTTAAGCCCACTTTCCATATACAACTTGAGTTTCTAGGTCAGAGTGTTTGAGCTGTTTGCTCACCAGGTAATCTTCAATTCAGATGAAGTTTGTAATCTTTTGGATAAACTCAGAATTGTGGAGTAGCATGGGCATAATGTCATTGACCATAAAGGCCAAGGTACCTCTCTAAAAAGTAAAGAGAAAGCGATATGGTAAAATCGTGTGGGGAAATTGTGTACACATGTGCATACCTGTAGAGGCATACTTCATTCAAGGAAATAAGTGTGGGAGCGTTGGAGGGCTGTGGTTTTCTGTTGCTAGCTTAAATAGGAAGTAGCCAGCTAGAATAATCACTTAGAAAAACAATGTTAATGACTTAGTTTTTGAATGTTGTGAATGTTAGACAAAAATGATACTGTCTAGCGTCATCATTAGTAGGTATCATGTGTAAATGTGGTTAGAGTCTATGTTTAAATACAGTCCAGATAACCAAATCCCTATTGGAGATGATTTTCATAGGAGCTGATCTGGAGTTTATGATGCAAATAAATAAGGAACAAAATAGCTTTTCAGTTGAAGTTTTCCTAGGCCAGAATAAGAGAAAGGAAAGATATTCCTGAAAGGTTCAATAGTACATCAGCTATTTGGCCATAGGTGACAGTGGGAAGAAATTTTTCTCATGCCGAATTTGTGTCATCAAAAGCACCCTGACCATGGCCATGCAGGACATGCTTTCTGGGCTCTTCCTTCCACCCACATCGCATGGTTAAGCCTCAGTTCCCCATGAATTTTTTGGGTATCTAGCCCCTGAGCAGATCTGTGCTTTCCAAATATTTTCTTCCACTCTGTAGGTTGTCTCTTTGCTTTGTTGCTTCCTTTGCTGTGCAGAAGCTCTCTAATTGGCTGTCATCTGCAGATATAAATGCCATGTGTGATGGTGGGCTTAGTATGGCCAGAGTCATACATACTTAATGAAAATATTCATTAAGACAATGATGAATTAAGAAAGGTAAATTTATTAGGGAAAATACGTCACGAAGAGCACAACGGCCAGAGCAGCAGAGAGAGAGAGAGAGTTTGCTCTCTGCTGTCTGCAAAGAGGCAGTGGCTAAATAGAAGTATTTATAAGACTGTGTGAGGTACAGTGTGGGCTTAGGGAATTGCCTTTGGAGGTCTGCGAAAAGAAATTCCCAGAGGTTTGTGAAGCTGCTGATTTATTGTGGTGTTTCCTCTCTTTAAGATAGTGTTAATTACCAGCAATAGTTAACAATAGCTAACGACTTTTTGTTTACCTGGAACTAGCAGTGAAGGGTTAACTACTTTTTTTGTTTCAAATGTTTTACAGCTAGCTAACCAGCTTTTACTGCAATATAATTTACCCAGTTGATGCAGGCCTAATAGAGCTTCATATTCCTCCACACTAAAGATTGCCACTTCCCTATTTACATGTGATCATTGATTCGATATCCTGGTAGAGCAGCATCTTGTAGTTAGGGGAGATGGAAGTATGCAGAGGAGGAGAGTCTGAAGGAGCAGTAAGTCATCTGTTGTGTGCATGAAATAGTGGGTGTTGGAAGTGTGATTCTATGACTTACCGGTGCCTACGTTCCATTTATACAAGAGAACGACTTTTGGGGTCCTCTCCGAAAAATCCTTGCTCAGACTAAATCTGAGAAAGCAGATGTGCGAGGTAGTAGTGACATGGGTCCTTCAGGACACCTGAGGTCACTCCTATGAGTTGTTTCATGGTTTACAGTGTATGGGCACCTAGCTAACTTGAGTCAATGGTTTTTCATCTATGACAGTGGGATGAGTATTGGTTAAAAGGTTTCTTTCTTTTTTTGGAGTTTGGCTAGGGTGCAGTGGTGTGACCATAGCTCACTACAGTCTGGAACTCCTGGACTCAAGTGATCCTTGCGTCTCAGCCTCCGGAGTAACGGGGACGACAGGCATGTGCCACCTTGCCCAGTGAATTTTTATTTTTTTGTAGAAATGGGGGGTCGCTATTTTGCTCAATTGGTCTTGAATTGCTGGCCTCAAGTGATCCTCCCTTATCAGCCTCCCAGAGTGCTGGGATTACAGGTGTTAGCCACCATGCCAGATCCCAACTGTTTCTTATTCTTTTTGCATTCTTGAATAAGGTGATGGGAGATTGAGCAGTAGTTAGTGGGCAAGTTCTTGAATTTCTCTGATTTATTTTTATGATCTGTCACAAAAGAAATTTGACAGTATCTGCCTCACAGTTCATACTTGATTATTATCTTCACTGACATGATCTGTAACGTCGAAACGACTTTATGTTAGTTTCATTTGTTGAGCCACTCTGAATTAGAGCAAGAAAAAACAGTATTGAAGATTTGCTTTTCTACTCACTTGACTAAGTAACTCTTTTGTGGTCCTCTTCTCTAGCCTTTGACAGTCAAATGTCAGACTGTAGACACACAAATACATAGTTAAAATGGCATTTAAAAAACTATTGCTGAGGTGTAACTTTTTCTGGTGATTATTAATTTTCTTCCGCCTACTGAGTTGAGTTGTTCTTGAGCATCACAGTGTCAGTCAGACCCAGGGAACTTCTTGGTGCTCCATCCCATGAAAAATAAGCCTTTTCTTTTCTTCAGAGAGAAAAGGTATGCAGATATGTAAACACCTCCCCTTTTCTAATGAAAGCCAAGGGCAGCTGTTGGACCAGAAGGGAGCACAAAGCCTGGTGCTCTGAGTGCAGTGTTGTGGTGTGATCTTCGGGAAAGGTGGGACTTGGGGACATTCCACCATTGCTGGCGGCCAAGCTCATCTGGGGGACTGCTGCTGTTGCTTACTGGCCGCCTTCAGGGCCCCTTCGCAGATGTCCCCTGTCCCTTGTTCTGTGTTCTGGACATGTCAGAGCAGCTGGGAAGGCAGGTAAGAGGGCCAGGGTGGCTGCCCTGATGGCTGTGCTTCCTCTGCCAGGGTCTCCCAGGATCTCAGCCCAGGGCATGGCGGGCTCTGGTCCCTCTCACTTCCTATTATCCCTGCACCTCGTCTCTGTCACACTGATGTCACTCTGATTTACCGGATGTGCTGCTTGACAGAGCCGAGTGATAGCTGGCCCAGCATCCAGATGCTCAGAGCTGCATGCCCCTGTTGTGCAGCCTGGCGGGTGCCTCCGTCCTGGCCTGGGGAGTGGTTTTTAATTCGCTGTAATTTATGCATCCTCGCAGTCCTGAGAGCTCCTGGCCTGTCAGCCCAGCCAAGATGAAGGCTGACAGTTGTCACCAGGGCCTGAAGGTAACCTCACATGATGACACGTTAGACAGACTAATGATGTTTTCCTCTCACCTCCCTCCTTGCTTTTTCACCTCCTCCTGTCCATGCCAATCCCGCCACGGCCACATCGTGCCGCCACCATACCACTGCCACTGCCACGGCCATACCATGCCACCACCACGCCATTGTCACCACCACCGCCACCCCACTGCAGGGACGCTCCGGACACAAGCCCGGCCTGGAGACTTTGTCTGCGTCGAGTGTGGGAAGAGCTTCCACCAGCCCAGCCACCTCAGGGCCCACATGCGGGCACACTCAGGTATCTCCCCTGTCCAGTGTCCCCAGGCGGGGCGTGGGAAAAGGAGTTTTCTTCTGTGTGTGACTTGATTGTCCACCTTGGGGACTGCACATCAGGCTCCCCCATACAGTACCTGAAATGGGGTGTTTGGGGGTATATAAGGCCATGTGGTTTAATTTGAGATAAGCCCATTTGCAAATGTTCCATTTTAATTAGAGAGTAACTGATTCCCTAGAAATGAGTATGCTAACGGACAGGATTGCCACCAGCACAAATTGAAATCAGAGTCCCCCTTTCAGCATCACACGAGGCTCGGTTTTGTGTCCTCACTGACACTGCCTGGACTCTGGAATACACTTGGGCCCGCTTTGGCTGGGCAGTGAGGTTCCGCGGAGCCCCTCAGCCTCTCTGTCGAGGGCTTGCTTGAGCCCCACCAGACTGGAGGCTGCGTGCTGGGGACTGCAAGAGCATCAGGGAGACAGTAGCCGGGCTCTTGATCAAGCGTGTGAGGGATGCCCACAGAACAAGCCTGATGAGAAATGACACAGGCCAAATGGTAAGTAATGCACGAAGAGGGCCCCTCTACACACACACCGATAATTAATGTTGTCAGTGATTGCTTTCTTCAGCTGCGAAGTCTGAATTAAAAAGGGCAGTGGCCCCAGGCGGCCATTATCACAGTCTCTTACTGTAAGTGTTACGGTAAATTGGTATTTTCCGGCCACAGGCTAGGCTCTGGTGTCTTTTTTTGTGAAAGTACTTAATCTGTAATGGACTCATTTAATGTGAAGCCCGCATGCTCATCTGTTAACAAACCCCTTGTTCCCACAGGGGTGTTTGAGTCGGATGGACTCCGGGGTTCTGAAGTTCACAGCACCTCCATGGATGCTTCCAAACAAGTAGGTCTCACAATGAATTGGACCTGTGTGTTTTCCTGTGGTGGATGGGAACGTTGTACCATGATGCTGGTTACCAAAGCGTGAATCTTCTTTTTTTGTTTTTTACTAGGTGTAAGTAATTTTATATTGATTTGATTCAGAACCCGTCCTTTCAGGGCAAACTGCGGGCGATCCCTGCACACAGAAGGCCATCTTAGCCACAAATCGCCTACTTTAGGGGAGCACAGCTTGTCCTTGGTGGTATTGAGGATGAGGAAATCGATAGAGACTGATGGTGACTGAAAACACTCAAAATTCAAGCTTTTTTCCAAGATATTTTTGAATATAAGTTGAGAACAAATTCTTTGAGAACATTCCTCTTTACTCTGTAAGAAAAATTTCTTGTTCAGGGTGGTGTTTCATGATCATGGGTTTTGTTTCCCTGTATTACAGACAAGACTGGTATGGCCAGAGCGCATGCAGGCACCTGTGTGTATGTGAATATGATACATATTACTGTGCACATGTGCACATACGAGGGGAGGGAACCCCCCAATGGAATTTATTTATAAAAAATTATGTATTCATTCTTACATGTTTAAACATCATTCACCTTCAAAGTACACTTTGATGTATTATATCGATCGAAATGCTTTCTCCATTGCTCAAAACAGTTTTTGAACTTGTCTGTTTTGATGCCTTTTAATACTTATGCCGTTTTTTGCTTTACCTCTTCCACATGGGCAAAATGTTTCCCTTTGAGGACTTTTTTCATCTGGGGGAACAAAAAAGTCCCTTAATGGCGAGATGAGATGAATAGGGAGGGTGGGGCATAGGGGTCATGCTGTTTTTGGTCAAAAACTGCTGAACACATAGTGTGTTTTGGTGGTATAGACAGGTATGCTTGTAAATCACCCATTATAAAATGAGCAAATGTGTTGAAAGAATCTCCAAAAAAAAAAAAAAAATTCACTGAAGCCAGACGCAACCTCTCACAGCAATACTAGCTGGTACACTGATGCCTGTGGATTCCTAGAACATTTACCTAGTGCAGGAAGCCTGTGCTACAAGGGGCTGCCCTCCAAAGGATAGTTCCAATTTTTGGGGGGTCCCCTTTGTACATAATATTCTAGTGTTCTCACCAGTTGCCTCAGAAGATTCTGTAATTGCAAGCTCCCCACTTTGTCCCAATGAAGGATTTCTTTCCCACAGAGTAGACATCCACACCCTGTCTGGTGGTCAAATCAAGCTCGTATGCCCTGCCCTAATGGAGCTAATTGTCTGTGGGGTTTGTGGTGGTTGAAGGGTGATAGTGATTATGATCTTCAAGGATCACTGTGGTCTAGTGAGACCTCAGAGGAAACTTGAAGATCATTCTAATTTCCTTCCCTAGAGGAAGAAGGTAAGAGACATGAAATGGCTTTGCCAAGGGCCTACTGTTCATTAGTGATTGAGCTGTGTTATAGAATTGTCATTAGCCTGTTAGAGATTTTGTTTATATTTTTAAAATTGCAACTTTAGAATTTCAATTTTTATCAATTGTTAGCATGTCTGTTTGTTATTAAAGGTCTTTTCTTCATATATCATTGGCAGAATACCTTACCAATTATTGCAGGTTTCTTTAGTAAGTGGCTTTCGCTTCTTTAAATAAAACCTGTGGTTTCAGGATACTGTGAAAATGAATGAAATAAATATAACATTTTGCCAACTACTGAATTAAAAGATTTCCAAATGCACGTGACATCAGCTCCAGTTAAACAGCATTGTCCTTTTAACAGAAATAAAACCCTCATGCCACAAAAGAGTCACGGTAAAGTGTTTGTGGGATGTAGTAACAGCAAGGCCATGCCATAATTGAGAGTTACACATTGAGATTACAACTGGAGTGAATCCAAAGTGTTCCTGCTTACACAGGCGCCCAGTTCAGTTCACCAATGACCTGGCTTTTTGGTAAGAATGTTTGTTGGGAGTGGAAAGGCACCAGGCAGTCTGTGAACAGCCCAGTGAGGTCCACCAGGAATTCACATTAGTTGATTTGCTGGCTATTAATTCTCCCTAAACCTCTTTAAAATGCTTTTGTCATAGGGAGAGATAGGAGATCAAACAGCAAATCACTTAGACTGTGTTTTAAACGATTTCTCTATTACTTATTATTTGTTTAATAAAATAATTTATATTATTTATAATATAATTTATGATAACTAAGTGTCACTCATTCTTGATTCTGATGGAGAAAAGATATAGTTGTACTGTCTTTGACTCTTTAAACTAAAATGCCGCTATTTTATACTTGGTGCCAGCTAACCTTTTAGTTTTGAGTTTGCAGTAATGTGGATTTCAGACCTAACATACGTGTTACTTTTAGTGTGAAGCTTTCAGCCAACTTCCCTTTCATTTGTATGACAGCGGTGGTTCAGGCCTACAGCATCCATTCGTTTCCCTCTCCTATGGGAGTAATTCCACATCCAAGATCATGGCCTCTGATAGCACCTTTTGTCTTTTGTTACATTTTGAAGTAGCTTTTGGTGACTTATCACTGAAGGTTCTGGTTCTCTAAGGAAACACCGTGCTCTTTGACATACTTAAGAACTGTATCTTTAGCTGGGCTCTGTGGCTCAGCCTGTAATCCCGCGCCTTGGAAGGCTGAGGTGAGTGGAATGCCTGGGCCCGCGGTTTTGAGACCCGCCTGGCCAACTTGGCGAGACCTCATCTCTACAATAAAGAAAAAAAAATCAGCCGGGCATGATAACGCGTGCCAGTAATTCCGGCTACTCGGAAGGCTGAGGCAGAAGGATTGCCGGAGCCCAGCAGGTCGAGGCTGCGGTGGCCAGAAGCGACCACTGCACTCCAGTCTGGGCGACTGAGTTAGACTCCAACTCAAAAAAAAAAAAAAAAAAAGAACTGTATCTTTAAGAATTTCCTTAGGGATTTATTGGCTGGAATAATTGAAAAGCATATCTGTAATAGGCACAGGTTTAAATCTTAGGGTCCTTCTTCCTTCTCATCCTGGAGTTTTGATTGTTTACAATATCGCAATTGTGGTGTTAAATTTAGGATACGTTATAGATTTATAGAACCATTTTCTGAAGTTATTTGTTTTTGGAATGTGACTTAGACTTACTAGCCATGTTCTTTTTCATGTTTAGAGTGCTTTGCTGACATTAATTAATATTTAAATCAAATTCTTTTCCTGTGGGCTTTAGAAGCTGTGGATCATGACTTTTTTTTTAAGCATACAACACTGTGTATTCATGTCAAATTTATTTGATGTGACACTTAAAGTTGATAAACTTTATATGTAATTTAGCATCTATTAATCTATATTAATATTTAGCATCTATTATATATACATAGATGCTAAATTATCCAATTAAATTATATAGTATATATATTAATAGATACTAAATTATCCACTTAAACCTGTATTTAGAAATTCTGTTTTATCGTAATCATTTATTCACTCAATAATATTTAGTGAGCATCCACTGTGTACTAGGCCCTGTGCGGGATACTGGGGATACAAAGTGAATGTTTTTCCTGCTTCTGTGGTTCTTAAGGTTCCGTGAGTAACTTAGACAAGGTAACAGGGCAGAGCGGGGAAGCTCTATGAGATAGTAAGGACCTTTGAGCCCAGACTTGAGGCCTTTGGAAGACCTTGCAGGGGGCAGACGGATGGATGTTCCCAGAGAGAACTCAACACGTAGAAAGACCTGGAGGTGAAAGACGTGTTCCTTGGGAAGAACCAAGTAGTCAGTGTGGCCAGAGGAGGGAGAGCCAGGGCGGTGCAGAGGCATGGGACTTGGTCTGGAGAGATGTGCAGGCATCAGGTCTCCTTGCAGAGACATGTGAATTTCCTCCTGTGGGTGACACAGAGCCCTGAGCGTTGTGTGTTTAGAAAGACGATCAGGGCTGAAACTCTACTGAGAATGGGTCTGCGGTAGCTCCAGGTGGCTGAGCCCCTCTTTGGAGGCCCTTGGCATCATCCCAGGTAGAGACGAGGTGGCCTATGCTGGGGTCAGGATGGAGAAGAGCATGCGAATTTGAGAGACCGAAATGTCAAGACTGGGTGTGGGATGTGAAGGAAGGGAAGGAATCGAGTTGATCTCAGGCCTGGCTTAAGGCAACTGTCCCCAGGGAGGATCCATCCCCTGAGCCCTGAAAGAGGTGCACGAGAGAACCTTTTTCAATTGAATTTAAGTTAAGTTTAAGATGCTTCTTGGAAATCCAAGTAGGAATGTCCAGGAGGCAGGTGACTGATGGGTTTAAAGCGGAGAAGACAGATTCTGGTAGAGAATATATATGCTTAATGGCTATCAACATTTAAATTCACTCAAGATCAGCCAGCTCTACTCTGAGATACCTGAGTAATGTAATATTAATATATTGTGTTATTGAGTAGAAGGTGCTAACTTTAATTCTCCACCTTCGACATGTGACTTAACCTAAGTTTTCTCATCTATAAAATCATGATTGCTGGGCTCGGTGGCTCAGCCTGTAATCCCGTGCCTTGGGAGGCTGAGGTGAGTGGACTGCCTGAGCCCGCAGGTTTGAGATCCACCTGGGCAACTTGGAGAGACCTCATCTCTACAATTAAAAAAAAAAAAAAATTAGCTGGGTGTGGTAGCGTGCGCCTGTAGTTCCAGCTACTTGGAAGATTGAGGCGGAAGGATCGCCGGAGCCCAGCAGGTTGAGGCTGCGGTGGCCGGGAGCGGCCACTGAACTCCAGTCTGGGCGACAGAGCGAGACTCCAACTCAAAAAAATAAAATAAAATAAAATAAAATCATGATCATAGGAGCACTTATTTTGTACACATGCTGTGAAAATCAAGTTAGATGCACCATGCCTGCCATAGGCATATGCTCAATAAGCTAGCTGCTGTTGTCAGTTTTTCTAGAAAGAAGCAATTGCCCTTAACAACCAGAAAAAACTCACACACAGTGAGAGTATTTATGGGGTGACTGCACATGTAAACATTTGTACATATGCATGTATGCTTATGTGGGTATGCCCGTCACTGGTAAGCCAGTTAGTAGATTGTGCCGTGGAACTAATGATTTCTTTTTCTTTACTTAGTGTCTTGTGTGGCCTTGTCAGATCCTGTCAGTGTACCTCTGTTGTTTTTGTTTAAGAGACTTGCTATTAGTTACTCATTCAGGGGAGGATACAGGAAAATTTAGTTTAAGGTATTTATTGTCAACATATAGGTGCAGTTACCTAGTGTGCTATACTTTGTTCAGAAGACCTCTGGTTGATGAACAGATGTTGTTGGTTTTGTACATACAACCCTAGAACAGGTGACCTTCGTTTGTCATATTAACATTTGAATTTTCTGTACTGGAAAATTTTAACAAATAAACAATTCAACAATTCAACAGGCATGTGGCTTAGGTAAATCTGCTGAAACTGATTTAATTCATTGTAGGTCAGAACAAAGGTTCTCATCTACATAGAACTTAGGGCAGAAATATTTTATTTATTTGGAGTTTCCTTTTGCTGTGTTGTTGGGAGCAATCTTTTTTCAGCATACGCGCTGTTTAAGCATCTTCCATGTTACAGGCACATACTTTAGGTGACCCTAGAGAACGTCACAAAAACCATTCCTTTCTTTGTGAATGTCTCCCTTTATGAATACCGTGTTGTAAGAGTGGAAAGGATGCTGAAATCTTAGAGGGTAAAGACCTAGCTTTAAATAGCAAGTTTCCAGAAGGGAGTGCATGGTCACAGTGTGAGTCTCTAGGCATACGGTTCTGTTGATTGATGGTATGTAGACTAGGAGATTGTAAAAGGGTTCAGGCCCAATGCGTGAGGACCACTCTCGCGAGTGGGACATTGCAGCTCGGGAGATTCTAGGGTAGCAGGACAGAGATACTTGTTGTTGGTGCTTACTGTGTTTTGGATTAAGACCGTTCTGATTTCAAGGACAGCTGAGACTCCATATCGAATTCTAAATCAAAAGAAGAATATTGTTGTTTAAAGATTTTTAAAATCACTTTAGCACAACTGGCTATTTAGTTTCTAGTAATCATCAATATTCATCATTAGCAAGAACACTTTTTGAAATTAATATACTGAAATATGGGTGTTATTGTTCTGTGGATGTTTGAGAAAAAACTAGGAGATTTGCTTAGTGTTGTAGAGACTTTTTTCTATTGTTGGTAAACTTTAGATGTTAAATAATTTTTGAAACTAAGAAAATTATTTCCGCCAGCCTCCTGGTTTTAGGATTTAAAAGACCACACTGACTACTGAAACACGAAATCTAATGTTTGTATTTGTTTGTATTTCTTGCCAAATTTAAAGACTGCGATAAATAGTTTATTTCTCATTATTCTAAATGTTATTTTAAAATAGTTAAGCTGGAGAAAGAATTCCATTAATCAAAATAACAGGAAATGAAAAAATAAGTGACAACCTGATTTGTCTCGTTTTTAGCTATAGATATTATAATGCAAAAGATGGGGAAATCACGTAGGTTGTTCTATTTGAATATATGTGTAAACTATTTTCAGCATCACTTTCAGATTCTCAGCATTGCAGATCAGATTTTGAAATTCAGCTTATTTGTTTAAGCTTTTCGTACTCATTTAGCCAAACAAGCATCTTAAAACACATGGCCCATTTTCTCTAAGTAGAGTATGCTACCCAAAGTCGTGAGTAGAGCTAGTGACTTATCCAAAATTACCAGTCACGTAAGGCTATATTTACTTACAGCTTGTTGGGTAGAGATCCTAGTCTGTAAGGCATCATGTGTGATTGGTCCTTAGACATTTAGCCTCATGCCCCATGAGTCTGGCTGCAAGCCTTGTCCCATAAGCTGACCTCTCTTTGAAGGCTGAGAGGCTCCTTGTGTGTCCTGGGGCACACAGGGATTTTGTGTGCACACATCCATACCCACCACTACATATATATTCCCTTGCCCTATAAAGAAAAGGGAAAAAGTAGACCTCAGAAAGTTCCTGAAGTCAGTATCCATTCATGGAACCCTGAAATACCTTCAAGAAGGATAGTATATCAGCATTACTGAAAATCCTACAATTCACAGCTGTGAAATAGAAGAGCCAAGTCTTCTGAAAGCATCCTTCTCATTTTGTGACTAGTCTTTTCGGTAGGAGGAAAAAACAACTTGCATATGCTCAAAATATTGCAGTGCCCCCCTTTAATTTAAATATCTGCAGCGCCTTTCTTCCATATGTCACTCATGTCTTTAAAACGTTGTAGGGTTGCTACATTAAATAGCAAAATGGTGGCTCCTGATGAATCAGTGATTTAAAAGAACTCTTACAAAACGTGGTATTGGAACACATCCCTTCAATTGTGAAAAGAAAATAGGCAGCTGTTCATCTGCATTTCTGAACACAGTTTAATGCTCTAGTTGTTTGGGCTATCCAGACTATGCAGTGCTTCTGAAATAAATATTTTAAAAACTCTCTGAGCCCTGTAATGTAAAGCTTTAGCCCTTATGGAGAGAGCTCCACATTCCTGTCACCTCTGGAATGGTCCATTCATGCACATCATCCATCCTTGTCACTCTGCCTAACGTAAGTCTGTGAATTATGATCCAAAGGAAAGAGATACCCAGGTGAGTTTGTGTGTGTGTGTGGGGGGGGGGGGGTTGTAGTCTGTGCAGAATCTAGACACAACACCCGTGTTTACATGTAGCACTTTGACTACTTCATAGGGTCCCTGGCATGTCTGTTTGCTACATGGAGATATTCAAGGCCAAACACTCAAGAGCCAACAATAACACCCGTTTTTCTCAAGATAAACAACACCACTCTCCTTTCTGAGTGTATTTAGCACTCGTTCTGAGTGAGCCCTGTTGGTGAGGAATACCTTGGAGCTCTCTCCATGGCCTGATGTCACTTCAAAAATGTAAAACATCATTCTCCGTTTACTGCAGGAAATTCACCATCTACTTAAGAAAGTTTTATCACATCTCTCATTCAGTTACTGTTTCCTACATTTCACATAAACTGCTGACTACACCACTGCGCCCACCCCAAGCCCTCGTAAAGTTTTGTTGAATATCTTTCTGACTTCCACTGCATGTTGACTCTTAGATGCTGTGAGTGCACAACCAGTCTTAAGTAGGAGTATTCTGAAACTATTAACTAAAGAGAAACACTTAATTCACTGTGTCAACCAGTCCTCCCCCACTATTATTCCTAGAGCTCCTATAGGCATAGCTGGAAACCAGTTAGGATTTTACATGAGTCTGTTAGTTGATATATGCATGTTAATTTCAAGCAGTCGGTTTCACTTCATCAAGATTTTAGCTGAAGGTTAATGCAGTTAAGTAAGATTAATCTTGCCGTGCTGTTTTTGTCCTTAGATTGTAAACGCTGTTGTTCAAACAGTGATGCTTCAAATGTCATTTGAGATCATTCTCTGAAAGCTGTAGGCTCATATTTATTCATGTTTTCACCTTGCAATACACTTGACTTCAGAATACCTCTTCTCAGCTGGGCATGGTGGCTCACACCTGTAATCCCAGCACTTTGGAATGCTGAGGTCAGAGGATTGCTTGAGGCCAAGAGTTTGAGACCAGCCTGGGCAATATAGCAAGAACTCATCTCTACCAAAAATAACTAAATAAATTAGCCAGGTGTGGTGGCATGCTCCTGTAGTCCCAGCAACTCAGAAGGCAGAGGCAGAAGAATTACCTAAGCCCAGGAGGTCAAGCCTGGTGTGAGCCATGATTGTGCCACTCTACTCCAGCCTGGATGACAGAGTGAGAGCCCAAGTCAAAGGAAAAAAGAAGAGAATGCCCTTTCTCTTTTTCTAACATGGTAGTTATTTATGGAAATGGGTGAAAGTTCTCAAGTTCTGACAAACCTACATGAGAGCCATGCTTTTCTTTTGTTTGCATGGCCTGAAAGTCAGCCTTGTTTTGGGCTACGTTCACTTACAAATCTGCTTTATACTATAGAGTTTTGCTTCTTGGGATCCTCCCCGAATCCGCTATCTTCGAGCCAGGCATGATCACTTGTTGTTCTTACAAGTGAAACAGAGACATCTAGTGATCCTTTGGGAATCAATGGAAATGAATTTTTTTCTTTTGGAATTGGAGTTCCTACTCTGTCACCCAGGCTGGAGTGCAGTGGTACGATCATGGCTCGCCACAACCTTGATCTCCTGGGCTTAGGTGATCCTTCTGCCTCAGCCTCCCATGGAAATGATTTTTTAAAACTGCCTCTCTGTAAGGCAGCGAGGCAGATTTAAAATATTTGTGCTCAAATAAGATGAGTTATGACTCAAGTGGAGGGCGGGGCAGGTCTTTTCCTGCTTGGCTGGTTTGCCCTGTGAAGGTGATTGTGGTGCTTGGATGTTCATGAGAAAATTTATAAGAAACATGAGCTCAGCAGCCAAAAGGCAGAAATGAACTTTTCTGTTGTATCCTTTTTCTCACCCAGGGGAGAGAGCATTCGAACACAGGTCCCACCCAGACAGTGCCTCTCAGAAAGGGAACCTAAAGGCGTGTTTGTGATGCACCCCGGTCCCCGCCACGGCCGTCAGCAGTCCCCTCGCAGATGTCCCAGCAGCCTCCCGCCAGTGACCATGGCCGCCCCGTGGAAGAACAGCCGGAGAACCCCCGACTGGATGCCTCCCACCCTGGAGCCGCTGTGCCCGAGTGGAACCTGCAGGGAGACACCTCTCCGTGTTAGACATTTAAGAATAAATGAAGATGCTATACTCTAGAATTACGTGTAGATATTATATATGCATATATGTGTTCATCGACCATAGTCCCATATTTTCTTATAATAAACAGTGATACTGGCAGGCACAGTAGAGGGGCACAAGGCATCTATCTTATTCAAGACAAGTTTGAGACACTGGAAAAAAAAAGATACTCGTGTGTGTGTTGGACAGAGTGGAGAAGCTGAGCACTGTCACAGGAGCCTCCCGACATGCAGAGGGACTGTGGAGACGATGTCAGAACAGACCGTGGTGGACTTGCGGTTGCTAAGGTGTTACTACTATTGCCTCTCCTGGTCTCAGAGGGTGTTGAAAATGGAGAATGAGAGAGAGGGAGGAGGTGGCCTTCCAGCGCTGTGGAGATGGAGCGTGGTGGGCGGGGCCGGTGACGAGATCCTAAGTATGCGCTGGGTCTGTGGACATCCCCGGGAGCCATTTTCCGTTCCCTTGTGCTGGTGTGTCCTGTCCACCCCAGGTACCGAGTGAACCCAGCAGAGGAAGCACGTCCATGGGCATGGGTAGATTCTGCTTTGGAAAGGAGAGCCAGCTGAACACTAAGCTGAGCAGGCTTCTTTGTTTATTCTCAGGACCTTTTTGTAACAGGGCTACATTTGCGAACTGCTTGCTCACCAAGGAAGACTGCACGTCTTAACAAATCACTCAGCCACCGAGTCCTCCCGATTCGGACCTGTTTTAGGAATGGCAGAGGAATCCCTGAGCGGGTGCGAGCCCTAGATCGCTAGGGTGCTATGCTCTAGAGCCTTCTTCCCCCGTCCTGGCCTACCTGCCTTTTCCCATCCAGCCCCGGCACCACCCCAGCAAGTAGGTGCCCTTTCTCCCTGGGCCTGGTGACCTCCACAGGACGAGTAACTTTGTTCGCCAAGGGTGGGGGTCACCAGACCTGTGGGCGGGGGCACGGCTTTTATATACCTCTTCCTCAGTAATGCAAGTGCAAGATTTTGCGGTGGGGGTTAAGGCCCGGAACAAAAGATCTTAAACCATGCAGTGTACGCAGTTGAAATCGTATTCCACAAATATAAATATTTTCTTTTCCTATTGCCGTGACACTATGTGTGATGGTAATATTTCTGAGAGTTTCAGATTTTTGCACATATGATTTTATGCATTATCAAAAGTTACTGCTGCCTTGAATGAAAATGTTCTGTGAAATTTTTTGCAAAAGCTTTACTAGGTTTTTTTTTAATTGTGAAATTTTGTAAAGGCAGGAAATGGATTAAAACGAGCATGCTAAATATATTTTTCAAAACAAAGCAATAATTTTACATGTACAGAAATTATCCTAACCTTTAATACTGGTGAGAGCGACAGTTTACTTAATACAGTAATGGATTAGTGCAGTTTTTGTAGAAAATGGGCTTCTGATACAAAGACTTGTTTAAAACACACACACACACACACACACACACACACACACACACACACACCCTTAAGTGTGGTTTTCCTGTTCTAATGATTTGTTGAATTATTATATTATTATTATTATTGTTGTTGTTATTGTTATTAGTTAATGTTTGGTTCTGGATTCTACTTGTTACTGAATTTAAATTACTTGACGGTTCAGGTTACTTTGCAACACTTGCAAAATGCAATGTAACTGGCTAGCTTATATACACACACACATACACACACACAAACACACACAAATATATGTGTGTGTATATAATTTTTTTACTTTATTTTTTTCCTAATATTCTTACACCAGATATGTATGAGAATGATCTGTCGTGTTGGTGTAATTAAGAATGTCTGTGCATATACTATTATGCGACTGTAATTGACTGTTCTGTAAAGTTATTTTGAGCAAAGTTGCGGAGACACATTCCTCTGTCCACCTAAGAAATCAAAATAACCTTTCTGTTTGATTTATGTTTAATCATTTCAATAATTTTCCCCAAAGCGATCATTTCTACATTTTCTGGCTTCTGTTTTCTTGGCTGAAAGTACCAGTGACAGTTAGGAATGCGCAGGGACGAGTGATTCAGTCCTGTCTGTTTCTCTGTTTTAGTTATTAAAAAGAAATTCTGTACCCAAAGTGACACAAAGGTCTAGTCTATATTTTTACTGTTTCAGAAGTGGCATGGACAAGCGCCGTTGGCATGTGCAGCTGAAGTGTCTCTCATGGGCCAGTCTCTGTTCCAGAGGCTGATAGGGGGAGAGGGGCCTGGCGCTGAGGTCCCGCTAGCAGCATGACCTGGCTGTGGAGGACAGTCAGCTTGAATGATGATGTGCTGGCCACGTGGAGTGCAGAAATAAGGTTTTCACTTAGTTAAACAGACTGGAGGGGGACCCCCGAGAAGGCCCCCCACCCACAAGACCGGCCAGGCACAGGCCTGGACACTGGCTCCTCCCTTCCGCTGGTCATCAGTATTGTATTGGTTTGTTAATTCATCTGTGTCAGTTTGACCATAGTATTTAATATGATTTGTGTTTTCTTATTTATTTAGCCAATTTGTTTGATTCACTTTTTTTCCGAATGATAATTTCTGCATGATCTACTTCTGTACGTCGCCTTCTGACTGTTACAGACTTTCTACTACCTCTAAAATCTGCTGTTTCCTTGTTTCTTAACAGGATTTTTACAGTGTTGTGTCTAATGTAACTTAGACAATAAAGGGTTTGGTTGTCTACACCGCAGCTTCTCCGTGTCTCTCCCCTGCTCTCCGCTCGCTTCTCCTCTGGCTTGCCTTGTCACCCTGCCCTCTCCCTCCTCCCGCTCACACCTCTTCCTAGTTTTTGAATTCAAATAATACACAAGTAATGAGCTTCTAAGCACCTTTCAGGTTATTCACGTGTATTTATTGATTTGAAGAATGAACATTTAAATGCTCTGAGAAATCAGATAAGTGAGTGTTCTCTCTGGAAGGTCGTCCACTATACCTGTCCACATTTCTGCCTGACTCCTGGGATGTCTTCTTATCATCTTAGATGGACAGATTTTACCCTGTTCAGCACAAAAAGTTTGACTTGAAAACCAAGTGAATTTTGCCTTTTAGGTTCTGAAAAGTATTGAATTTTCAGGCGTTTTAAGAGGTTCCCTCTATATTATTTATTTTTTAAACCAAGATTGACACGGGTTTTCTGAAAATCAGGTGCTCCAGGGAATAGAGGTAGGGGGTTCCATCCTGTCACTCTGTCCAATGAAGGACTGCCCGTTATGTTGAGACCCATCTTCTGATATGGTCACGCAGCATTGATGGCTGGGAGCACAGTCTCAGCACCCCTGTAAAGGCACAGGCCACCTTGGTTTAGTAACTTAACACTCCTCTAGGATGCAGCCTTGAGTGCAGCAAGGTTGGTTTCATCTTTCCGGCGCCTCCCCAGGGTGGTGGCTATGGTCGCTTTCTGTCTTTCAATCGAGATAGAGTGTAGGTTATGGGATGGAAAGTGGTTCTTAGGCTGGGCACGGAAGACGGCGCCCCCTGGGCTTTCATGGCTGGAGACACTCAACCGAGCATTCTTTCTTGTAACAAGACGAACCAACCCTCCTCCCTGCTTCCCCCAACAAAGTCTGAGCTGTTTTGAAGCTGTAGAAAAAGGAAGGATGGAAGGACTACATTTATATAGCTTTACTTTTCCACTTTGAAATGTCTCAAGTAGCATATGTTGTTTTACTGCTTTTATCTTTGGTGAGTTCTAATTACAGAACATTTTGTTCACTGAGGAAAAAAGAAAATCACAGGCCAGGACTTGAAGTGACAAGGACGTCTTTGGTTGGTTTGCGTGCATGCCAGAGCCCTGCGGCATGCCTGTGGGATCGAACCCCGTGGTCACCCACCCAAGGGAAAATGTTCATTCTTCATCAGCTTTGCTAATGATACTTTGAGGCAGTAAAATGCAAAAGACCATAGAATTTGTATTTCCTTTTTTAAAATACAATTTATAACATTATATTTTGTACTCTTTATATTAGAATTTGTAACTAGATTGATGTATTTAACTCTATTTCTGAAAAAGTAATTCAATGTTTTAGTTGTGTGATAAAAATATTTAGATAAAACATATTCATTCTATTGGAATTTGAAATCAATAAAAACATCTTGGAGTTCTTGAGATTCGTAAGACATTTTTCCCCTATTTCAGAGGGTATCTTAAGTCACTTGACAGCCCATCTCGATCTGTGGTTATTTTTATTGGCGGAACATAAACTGAAGTGTTGATGGTCTTTATTTATATAAGCGTACGAGTTTTAGGGTGACTCACAAGATAGTTCATCTAAAAAGGTGCCAAAATGGCCCAAATATTTTTTCGACTCTTTTGTGGACTCCAGAAAATAATACATATACTTTTAAAAAATTTTTATGAGTTGGCGTCATCTCACTCTGTCACCCAGACTGGAGGACATTGGCATATGCGATCATGGCTCACTGCAGCCTCGACCTCCTGGGCTCAGGCGATTCTTCCACCTCAGCCCCCTGAGTAGCTGGGACTACAAGAGCGTGCCACCACACCTGGCTGATTTTTAAATTTTTTTTTTGTAGAGATGAGATCTTGCTGTGTTGCCCAGGTTGGTCTTGGACTCTGGGACTCAAGCGATCCTCTCACTTGGCCTTCCAGAGTGCTGAGGCTGTTGGCGTGAGCCACCATGCTTGGCCCATATACACTTAAAAAAAAGGAAGGTGACTGCTTTTCACGTTGTCTTCATAGCACACTTCTTCCCCCAAATATACCCACTGTTCCTATAATTGCACTGTTTCCACACAGTGTGCGCAGGTGTGGGCACAGAGGGGATTCTGATCCACCACACCTGGAGGAAATAGTTGTGTCAGAACCTTGGGATGATAGTGGGGTTGTGACAGTGGTTTGCCGTGGTTCTCTGATGAGATAGTAAAAAATAGGATTTAGGACCATCAGCTGCAATAACTTTTAAAAAAAAGATAAAATGTGATTTAAAGGTTAAAGGTGTAACTGTGTCTCCATTGACAGAAAAAAGAAGGGACTAGGTAAGTACTTCAACGTGGCTTTCGAAATGTGCCAGATG